AGAAACAAACATAGCGAGTGAGACAAAAGGAGACAAAAGAATATATCCCAAATGGAAGAACAATAAATAAAATCACAGTAAAAGAGCTAAATTAATCAGAGATAAGCAGTACTTCTGATTAAGAATTAAAAGTAATGGTCACACATTAACAGACATTTCTGCAAAGAAGACATAAAGATGGCCAAAAGAAATCTGAAAAGATGCTCAATATCACTCATCATCAAGGAAAGGTAAAATAAAACTACAATGAGATATCACCTCACACCTGTAAGAAAGGCAAAAACCAAAAACTTAAGAAAAAAATAATGGTAAGGATATGGAGAGAAAGGAACCTTTTGTACTGTTGGTGGGAATGCCAACTGGTGCTGCTACTGTGCAAAACAGTATGGAGGTTCCTCAGAAAGTTAGAAACAGAACTCCCCTATGATCCAGTAATTGCACTACTGGGTATCAACCCCCAAAATACAAAAACACTAATTCAAAGGAATACATGCACCCCTATGTTTATGGCAGTATTATTTACAATGGCCAAATTAGGGAAGCAGCCCAAAAGTCCATCGACAGATGAATGAAGAAGATGTGGTTGGTATATACATACAATGGAATATTATTCAGCCATAAAAAAAGAATTAAAGCTTGCCATTTGCGACAACATGGATGCAGTTAGAGAGTATAATGCTAAGTGAAATAAGTCAGAGAAAGACAAATACCATATGATTTCACTCATATGTAGAATTTAGGAAACAAATGAGCAAAAGCAAAAAAACAGAAGATAGAGACAAACAAGAAACAGACTCTTAACTGTAGAGAACTGATGGTTACTAGACGGAATGTGGGTGGGGGATGGGTATTAAGGGGGGGTACTTATTGAGATGAGCACTTGGGTGACAGGGAATTGTTGAATCACTATATTGTACACATGCACCTCATATAACACTGTATGTTAACTACACTGGAATTAAAATAAAATACTTAATAAAAAAATTAATGGTCTTAAAGATACTCAATGGACTTGAGACACAAGTGGATGAAATCATTGAGAAATTATACAGAGACAGACAATATTAAAAACACCAGTCAGAGCTGATGAGTTCAATAATGAATTCAATAAAATACATACTAGAGGGCATCAACAGCAGATTAGTTAATGCAGAAGAACGGATCACCAATCTGGAAGACTGGGTACTGGAAAGCAATGAAGCTGACTGGCAGAAAGAGGGAGAACAGATTAAAGAAACTGTGACCTTATCAAGAATAATAACATTTGCACTACAGAGATCCCAGAAGGAGAAGAGAGAGAGAGAAAGAGGAATAAGAAAAAAATACCTGAGAACTTCTCAACCGATATCCCAGTCCAGAAAGCACAGAGCCCCTAACAAGATGAACCACAAGGTCTACACCAAGACACATTAATAAAAATGGCAAAAAGTGATGATTAAGAGAGAATTTTAAAAGCAATAAGAGAAAAGAAAACAGTTCTATACAAGGGAAACCCCATAAGGCTATCATCTGATTTTTTAGCAAAAACTTTACAAGCCAAAAGAGAATAACGTGATGTATTTAAAGTGGCAAAGGAAAAAGACAACCAAGAGCAGAATTGTCAAATCAATAGGTTATACACCTGAAACTAACATAACATTGTATTTCAATTATACTTAATAAAAAGTATGGTTTTGGCCAAGAATTAGACAAAAAGACCAACAGAACCGAATAAAGACCTCAGAAATAGACCCACATACATGGAAATTTAATATATGACAGAGTAGCAATGTGCATCAGTGGGGAAATGATGAATTATTTTCAACAAATAGGTTGAAAGTTTCCTAAAGTAAATAGGAAAAAAGGCCAAAGTTATTGAATCCCTATCTACAATATAGCAAAACAAACAAGAACCCTCACAAAACTTAGAAAACAACAATACAAGTCAATTCCAAATACCTTTAGACGATTTCAAAAATATACAGGAAGATACCTGTGTGACACTGGGGATAGAGAAGAATTTCATAAGGCAGATAATACAGACTGGAAAGATGATGAAGCAAATGCGAAGTCACAATTTACTAAAGAGATCATAATGAGAACATACAAACCACAACTGGGAAATGATAGCTGCTATTCATATTATTAAGAGAAAAAGGAGTCTGCTCTGAAAATATCTTAAAACTTTCAAAAATTAACAGGAAAAATACCATCAATAGGAAAATGGACAAAATTTATATAGGATTTCACAGATGAAAAAACTCAATTGCCAATATGCATATAAAACTATGTTTATTCCCCATCAGTAATCAGGAAATTGAAATCAGAACCCCAATGAGATACCATTTTATACCTATCAGACTGGTAAAATCTCAAGGACTGAAAACACCGAATGTGGGAGACAAAGGTGATGATAAATCAGTATCGGCATTTAGGAAAATGATTTGGTTTAGGTAATCAAGGTAAAAATGTTGCTTTTTTTACGACCCAGAAGTATTCTACCCACATTTATTCTAGAGGAGCTCTCATGCTCCAGTAGACAAGAAAAGAAAGTTTATAGCAGCTGTTTATAATAAAGAACTGGCTAACTCTATTGTTGATCAACAGGAAAATGGATAGATTGTGCCACATTCATATAATGGACTGAAATGGATGGATCCAAGAAATATAATGCTGAGTGACAAAGCAAATGTAGAGGAATTTATATACACTGTTACCACTACAAAGTTAAAAAAACAAGCAAAAGTAAATAGCATTGATTAAATATACATGTGTGTACTTGTATAAAGAAATAATGCAAAATTCAGAGGAACACGAAGTAAACAAAAAGGACAGAAGGTGATTCAGGAATACAGACAAATAAGGAGTCTGGTTTATGATTAAAATCCTATGAATGGTTTTTCAGGCCTGACCATAAGCAAACACAGAAGCTTTACCTGACAGACCTTACAGGACAAACTGCCCTTATGTCTCCCTGGCCAGTGATGCTCTTTTACATATTTACATCCCTAGGCCCAACACCAGCATTCCTAGGTTCTTTCTATGAGGCCTTGGGCAGAAGGCTTGTTCAGGTGCCTCTAATGGGACCCCTTTAAAACAGGTAGAACAGGGAAACTTGAAGACACTTCGACCCCCGGCCCCTTAAGTAGCACCCAGTGCTTTTCTGCTTTTAGCTGACTGCCACCCCTCCACCCTCCCCCTACGTGCACCTTCAGGGCTAAAACTGCCACTGCCTTTTGTTTAGGGACCCCTCATTAGTCAGATGATCTCGACATGTGTGCTGATCTGCCTGAATCTGGATCAGTGCACTGTTCCAAAATGGATTTGAGGTAAGGAGAATCAGCATCTCCTCCAGTTTTAGACTCCTGTTTATACCACTGCACCAAGTGATCAAAGGCTTAACTCTTTCAATTTTGGCTGAGCCTGACAGCTCAACTCTTGTTTAGCTCCACAGACCCTTGACAGTAATGTATTTCTTTTTTTGATAGTAATATATTTCTTAAGTTGGGTTGTATAACAAAGCTACTTTGAACCTCCTCCGTAAAAACTTTTAACAACTTAAGTTCTGTGGAACTCTTATGGGGAGGACAAATATGATGAAATCACAAAGAAGGTTGTGTTTAAATTATAGCTTCAGTATCTCGGGATACACAAAGGTGAAGGAAATTGTGGGGTTATCAGAAAGGTGCTTCATTCTTTTTAAAATTTGGGTGCACAGCAGTATGTAGGACCCAAAGGAATCTTTTAAAGCATACAAGTTATCCTTTAAATTTTCTCTTCTTTGGGATGAGATCTTTCAAGAAAATTCATTTTCTATTTGCTTTCATATGTCTAAATGTGTCTATACCAAATTTGTGGATGAGTTTCTACAGTTACTACTTTATAAAATAGCGTATGTGTGTAAAATGTCCTTCAACTATTTTCTTCATTCAGACTGCTCTATAAAATTATATTTGTCCTTAAACTACTTTCTTCGTACCTCAGGGATTTCATAAATCAATTTATTTTTTGCCTCAACCATACAGGCTCCATTTCTATCTCCTTCTGGTTTATGTTGTGGGGTACTGATTTTTTAGGTCTTAATGTAGAAGCTCCCCGGCTCCATTCCCTGACGATCATATCTGGAGCTTTCCAAACAGATCCCATAATATCACAAGTGGTAAATACTAAAACCACACAGTATTTTATGCTCTGGCCATCGTTTTATTAAAGGAGAAATTATATTTTATGTCCATATTGTATGATTATCATTCTACGGTAACAAATTCTCAAAGGTAAAAAAGGTTTCAGAAATTTCCTTGCCCTTATTTTGCTAACTCCTTCTACCTGTAGTATAGTTAGTTATAATTTAGAATGTGCTTTCCCATTCGCTCTTTTGATCCTTACAACTGTACTAATTCGGTTGCACACATATATATACTCCCATTTTACATACGAGAAAATCAAAACAAAAGAAGAGGTTATTATGACACCTCTGAGGTCACTCAGCTAGTTAAACCTGAACCCAGAAACTGGTATTCCTATTCCATTGTGTACCTGTGAGACACTTTGTACACCAAGTCTCTGCTATTTGCTACTTGTCATAAACTTGTGGGACAACTGTAAAATAATAAAACTAAATCAACTTACCTATGATAATGAATTATTCAGGATCTTTATAAAGAATACTAGTGCTTTTGTCAAATACAGCTTTTGTCAAATCTGTTACTTTTGAGGTGAATTTCATTCATCTATTAAACATCATATTAAACGTTATTGACAGCAAGGCAAAGTACTTTAATCATGTGTTTTTCTCAAATTTTGCTCTTACACAGTTTCTATTTTCTTCATATATTATTATTATTATTATTATTATTATTATTATTATATTTGATGCTTTCAGCAAGAAGATACTTGGCAAAATCCTTACTTAAACCTGACCAATGCAGAAATGTTTCCCCTAACATTTTAGTTAGGAAAAAATCGCTTTAAAAAGAGACCTTAGACAAAGTTACCAAACATTTTTGCATTAGTTTCCTTACCTCCAAAAAGATGGAAGGCTTTCCTGCAGCTTGGGAGCGGCCATTTTGCAGAGCTGGATTTCTGAAAGCTTTGTTTTATTTTCAAATACTCTTTAGTAAAGAATGTTTTTGTGGCATTGTTCAGTTCTAGAGTAAAGCAAAAGAAAACAGTAGTTTTAGACGTTAATTTGACTAAAATGGCAAGAGCATGAAAAATTGTTACAGTATTTTGACAACAAATTTAGATCTCTTTAAGAAAGAAAACGAGTAAACTTTTTAATTTGAATTCAAGCGAACATAATTCCCTCAAATTCACATTTGATGCAACTTTGATGTGTCTACACATACAGTATACATCTACTGGGAATCTCCTATGTCAGTTATTATGCCATAGGCAGCAAAGAGAAAAACCCAGTCCTTGCCCTCAATAAGACTCAAGATTAAAAGATAGAAACAGGGGCACCTGGGTGGCTCAGTTAAGCGATTGACTCTTGGTTTCGTCTCAGGTCATGATCACACGGTGGTTTTGTGAGTTTGAGCCCCTCATCAGTCTCCGTGCTGACAGTGTGAAGCCTGCTTGGGATTCTCAGTCTCCCTCTCTCTCTGCCCCTCCCTGACTGGCACTGTCTCTGTGTCTCTCAAAATAAATAAATAAACTTAAAAAAAAAAAAGGTAGAAATAAACAGGTAGACAAAAAAGGGAAAAATGTGTTACAGGTGTAGCAAGAGAATAACCAGAGTACAATCCTGGCTCAGGAGAGAGGATAAAAGGGAAAAATCTTTTACAATTTTTCCTACTGCATCATCTCTTTAGTTCATTCTATATGTGATGGTCAAGAATTTACTGAATCTAATGCTGCTGATTGGAGAAAGTGTAAAAAAATGCAGAATCAGGGGTGCCTGGGTGGCTCAGTCAGTTAAGCGTCCGACTTCGGCTCAGGTCATGATCTCACGGTCCGTGAGTTCGAGCCCCGCGTTGGGCTCTGTGCTGACAGCTCAGAGTCTGGAGCCCATTTCAGATTCTGTGTCTCCCTCTCTCTCTGCCCCTCCCCTGTTCATACTCTGTCTCTCTCTGTCTCAAAAATAAAACGTTAAAAAAAAAAATGCAGAATCAAATTCTCAACCTTTCAGAGACTTTCTTATGAGTGAAAAAGAAAATATTCATTGGAAGTAAACACAGACCAATCAGAGAACAGATGTGATGATATTCACTTTAAATTCTAGAAAGTACTTGAACTCTCTCTTATATGAGCCATGCAAAGCCTAAGCACATAGAGAAAAAAATGCTCACCTCTAAAGGGAACAATACAAGTTAGGGGAAAAGATAAGCTGCTATCATAGCCTGCATTCAGTAGAATGGGACTAGTTTGAATCAAAGAAATACAGTAATATAAATCTCTTCAGGCCTCGCAGATTCTCACCCTGGGTGGCTGTAAGGTCTACTAGTAAGTGCATGCCCTATAGAATTTGGGGTCCAGAAAAGCTCTGAATGCTGGGAAGGGAGGCCAACCAGGAATACCTCATCCAGCACTGATGAGTATTTATCTGTGTGTCCTCAAAAAATAAATTAAAACCTCATTTTCATATTCTTTACTCATAAGCTGTTCAAAGCTAAAAATCTTGCTTAGGAAGTCCCATTTTCCAGCTAAATATGCACCATGATGACAGAGGCATATAGAACAGGGACAAAACCAAACCCAAAATTCTAAATATGATACTGTTGAAATGGAGTTACAGATTTTACAATATGTGAATCATTATAATTATACAATTTATGCTGAACTGAGGTTAATATTTAGGAGTTCCTATTTTAATATCTAGGTAAGCCATAATTAATGACTTATCCATTTTAATTTAGTGAGTCCATTTAGTATTTGCTACAATATTTTGTTCTCATAATTTTATACCAGAATAATGAAAAAGTAATTATCATCATTTTTAACCCTTCAGGCCCAGGAGAAATCGGCTACTATTATGACTTTCTCAGGGGAGAGCATTTATCCAAGCTTTCACCTCAAGCAGTTGTGATCACTTTATACTTACTGATGTCCTTTAGTGACTTTGGAGCACTCAAGAATCATTTCAGTAACTGTTTCATCACCCAAGAATAGCTAGTTTATCCTCTGCTAGAGGAATTATAAGACTAAGAGGTGATCTATTAAATTAAGCCCAGTTTACCCACAATATTTACCGAGCGCTTGCTAAGATAAAGACAAAATGTTAAGTACTTTATACTGTGATGATGCATCCTGTTATTATTTTGTATGTAAAGTTACATTTCAAGATTTAGAAAAAGGCTTTTGAAATCCTAGGGATAGGGATATATTACTAGATCCTCAAAAGGTTATCACAACATCCATCCTTGCCTTCGAAGAATCTGTAATACTGTCTTCTGTGTGAAAAAAGACTCTTAAATACTGAGAACTGAGGGTTGACGGGGGGGTGGGGGAGACGGGAAAGTGGGTGATGGGCACTGTGGAGGGCACTTGTTGGGATGAGCACTGGGTGTTGTATGGAAAACAGTTTGACAATAAATTATATTTAAAATAAAGAAAAAGAAAGAAAGAAAGAAAGAAAGAAAGAAAGAAAGAAAGAAAGAAA